AAGCAATCTGCCACTTCCAAATTAGATGGTAGATGTTTTTGGTGAACATCCTAGGTCAGGAGATGTGCAGGTAGAAGTTGTTTGTCAGTTAAGTATTACAACACAGGCATGTATTCCAAAGCATCTATGAAGCACAGACGTTCTTACTGGGTTGCTGTGTCTATAATATATCCAACACATATTGAAACGCCGACAAAAACATTTATGGTAAAAATACAAAATAATGTGAGGAAAAAAACTCACGTACTTCATTTCGAATTTGTTTTATATCTACTATAAGTATTTCTCTCTCTCTAGCGACAGTAATATAGTTTCACTCAAAGTTAACATAATACAACAAATAGCCCCTCCTTTGATTCAAGGGATTTCCCCAAATCAAAGTTTAAAATTATTGACTTTATAAAAATATAAAAGTTATAATCTATAACTGAATAGTTTTAAAGAACGTAAATCGACCGTGTCCCTATATGTGTCCTTGTCCTACTTTTTTGAAACACTGTGTCGGAGTGTCATTTCTAAGGAGTGGCATGGCTGTATCCGTGTCCGTGATTCTTTAGATTGGCATAAAACATGGCTGACCAAGATTATGTAGCTCAAGGGACCACGTCGCTTTCCATAAGATATAAACCAAGATAATTGGAAAATGCAACTCACTCTTGGGAGTAGAAACTTGAGATGTTAATTTTGCCCCCTTCAATCATCAGCTCCTCCTGAGGATTCAGAGTGACAGTATTGGTAGGACATTTGATCGACTGTCCATCCAAAGCTCGCCTAGGTAATGAACCAGAGAAGGCGCCATTGTTGGGGACAGAAATAGGCAAGCTTGCTTGCAGAGGTACAGGTATGCCAGTTGCCTTGTTTGCTAGTGCATTGTGCAGTTCCATTACCCTACAGGAGGCATCCCGGTTAGAGTAAGATACCAGAGGATTCTGTTGACACAGTTGTTGCATTGTGGACGAGACTGCGACATTATTCTCCTCCAACCTGCCGGGAAATGCTGAAACAGGACCAGCATCATTCTTCATGATTTGTGAGTTAACAGCAAAACTTTGAGCTTGCCAATGACTGTTTCTCTATCCCAAACATGAGGAAATAAATAAATTAGAAACCAAGATATTTTTCAAGACATAAAGTTGAGAAAAAAATCGGTAACTGGTACCAATATATTTTGCCTATAAGACAAATTTTCAGTTCGGATAATTAACTTAATTTGGCCAAGTTACTTCACAGCAACTTCAAAAGTGGTAAGAATACACATAATAGAAACAAAGAAGAGGAGGTGGACAGATGAAATGTTCCGATTGCATTTTGATTCTACAGAAGTAAACGCAAAAGACAAGGTCATCTAACAACTGTGAAACTCAGTATTCCCAAAACGAAGAGTATCAAAAATTTAAACGGATGTTATAGAATTTATTGCTCAGCGAATTATCAAGAAACCAAATGAGCAACCTAAAAAAATTGCTTATTAAGAACAGCAAGGGACAGGAAGGAATAACAGTGGCACGTTAAGGGGAAAATTTTGTTAGGAGCATACATTTGGTAAACATGCTCACACACAAATTTGCAGACATTTAAACGACATTGTTAAGGTAAAGAAGTTTTATAATGTTCTAATATTACATACTGCAAAGGTAAGAAATATGTTTAGACTTGGCAGCTTCATTCACCTCCATAGTACTCTTGTTACAAGGTTGGCATTTCTTATGTAGAACTCCAGCATACAGTGTAAATGTAATTATATCAACCCAACTGCTCTATCCAAAAAATTAAATACATGTGGAGATTAAGTGAGACCTCCAGGCATTAATGGAAAGAATCCGGCAAAGCACGGATATGGCTAAGAAAATATCACTTTAGAAATAAATTACATCTACAATTGCACAACTGATAACTTGCGAAAGTGAACTCGTATCTTGGACAATTAAGCATGCAAACAGAATTCACATATTGATCTTTGTTTCGTAAGGTGTCAAGAGTTTACCCATGGCATGACCTTTGTGGGCTCTGAAATCCAAGATTGATATGACCCTTCATATTTGTTACAACTTTTCATGTAGAAATTGTACATATTGAATCACCTGCATCATAAAAACTAACAATTAGCCAGATCAAAGGTCACAAAGCAGAAACTACGAATCAAGAAACTCGAAAGTAAATTACACTGGAACAGTGGAACTCTTGTCATCCCTCAGAATTATAATGACACCGCCTCCATTTTGAAAAATTTTAGAGACCACCCTTATTTCGAGTTTTTAATAACATATTCTCCATTAGACCAATTTTATTGTTTGTCAATACGACGATATCAAATTTGAAGGGGAAGCAAATTATAGTGGGTGGAGGGGATAAAACCGGGGCAATGGAGTGGAAGAAAAGCGACTGTGATGGAAGTGGGGGAAATCAGATATGGTGGGAGCAATGGGAGTATGGGATGGAAGAGGAGATTAGTTTTGGAAACTTTGAAATTGTTGGCTTGAAAAAGCAAACAAATTATAAAAGAACTAGTTATACCAGGCAAGTTTGGATCATCTTTTTCCTTTTTCTAGATTTCTGGCAAAGAATTAACTCCAAGACATTTGGACAGGGTGGTTGTAGCTTCCATCATTTCTGGAATTTTGCTCATTTAATTTTTATGTCTGAATTGTTAGGAGAAAGAAGGGAAGGGGTTACATCGTAATGCATATTTGTAATAAAAATAGGTCATATCAGTTTCCATAATTTATCAGAAGTGATGGGTGTGAAGTGTAATAGTCACAGATGACAACGGGTTCAATGTAATATTCTGTAACTAACTTTATCATGTATTCTTAACAAATAATGTACCTCCAATAAAAAGATGCAGTATCTCGCTTCTGATTACTATTGGGTATCAGTTCTCTCAATATTTGAAACCTGATTAATGAGAAAAGTCAGATAAGTTGCAGGTACAGCCCCTTGGGAACCACAATGATTGACGCCATGTTCATTGATCATGAAAGCCTCAATTTGTAGATTTGAACTGGTCTAAAAGTGATGCATCATACTTGGATATAGCGGAGTAATTTTAGATTCAATATCTAGTTAACCAATCATAGTTTACAGCAAAAACTGAATCGCGAGGAAGGACAAGAAACTGCACAAGCTTCACAAACAAACATTTTCTTACTTCTTTCACAATATCTTACTTCATATCATTTTAAACCTATTGCAAATTTTAAAAAATCAGATCGAAGCAGAGATACATGAAACAAGGGTGTATATCAGAAACAGACATCTTGGCAATCCACCAGGATCAACAAAGCAAAATACTTCTTGATGCCGGAAATTAAGCATTAGCAATAATGTTGATGACTCTGCATGGTTCAATTTAACTGTCCTGTCAATGCACCATTGTCACGAAAAAGGTAGAAACTCGAAAGTTCAACAAAATAGATATACGATGTCATCTTAAACAAATGGATCCTCTTGCTCCAAAATTCAGTAAGTCAAACATAATAAAACATGTCGATGATCCATGTTTCCAGTCCACTCTTACTATGCAGGAGTATCAGGTCGGGAGTGGTTCAAATATCAAGGATTACCACCCAAACAGTGTAATTATTGCAACTATAATGAAAATACCGAGCAACACTATAAATCTTAGAAAGCGTGGTTGGGAAAAAGAAGCTAGCATGATAATATAGCTTAGAAAGACATTTTTTCTTCAATAGTCTATTTACTCACCCTATGTATAAACTCAGTTTGACGACATAAACTAAAAAATGCACATAACATGATAAAATCCAATTGTATGTAATTTTCGTTAGTGTTGACCATCGTGAAGCCTTATTCTAAATTTTTAACAGAATATAAATTAGAATACTAATAGTATTGACAAAAAAAAGTCTCATTATATGTAAAATAATATAATAGATGGACAAATTGATATTTTTACTATCTGCACAATTAATGACGTGCATCATCCATCATGAAAAAATGTGTGCCTACAGTATGGTTATTAGAGAAGAGCGCATCCTTATTGCCTAGCTTAAGAAAGACAAAAAGATAAGCTTATTACAAATAAGGAAAATGGAGGAAGAAGAAAGTGGCTAAAGGGGCAAAGGATCCTATTCCTCACAATTTCCTTTCAACTTTCAAATCCACCATTAAAAAATGCAGCATTAACATAACTACTAAGTCCACATTTTTTATACAGTATCCACCTAGTCAATTTTGTTCTACTTACTACATCTTTCTCTATCATGGCTGCATATTTTTCTCGCTAAGGAATGGGAAATCTTTCGCTTGTTACATGAAATCAATTTTCATTTCAAAACTTGACAATACATTGAACGAGATTTTAACTTTTATTTTTCTTCCTTCATATTTGTACTGTTGAATCCAACTTAACAAACATGCCATAAGATTACAACTACTATCCTCAAAATCGATTCTGCCATCAAAATTAGTTCTAAACACTTAAGTTTACAGCATTCAGCATACATATTTATTCAAGATATAGGAATCCAAATGTTTAATAATATCCTTTTATAGCTTAAAATAATCATTATACATAATCCGATAATCACAGTTAATACTTCAATCTATTACAAGCCATCTTCAGCATACTTAAGAAAGCAATTTAGTAATGCTAAATTCAACTAAATACATACCACAAAATATTAAAATTTACCATTTTAACACATTTATGCATAGGAATGTATAAATAGCCTGATATTACCAAATATACGTCTACACATCAAGAATTGAAAACTCAGAATTCAATTATACACAGGGGGGACACACACAAAAACACCCCAACATGTGATGCCAGTACGTGTATAAAAGTAGGTACCTTTGGCATTATTAGTCGATGGCATGGCATCTTTTCTTGCACAAAACTCTTCATCCACCTCTTCTTCCTCTTCTTGATGACCCTTTCCTTCTTGATGACCCTTTCCAGATTTCATTCTTCACCGAATTTCTTCAAACAGGTTCGCTGCATAGAATCAAGAAACTCAAAGCACCCAATAACTGAATGAAAGAATAGCCCAAAAAGCTTCGCCGTACAAACAGAGATCTACCTGATTATAAAAGGGATGAGAAAAAGTAGAAGAAAGCTAAAAAGATTACAGCTTTGTGGGTAAAATTGTTGTTTTGTGGGAATTGAATCAGACTTTTAGGGTCGTGTATGAGTGTGCCCAAGCAAATAGCAGCAAACTGCAAAACCCGCCTTTAAGTCTGGCGAAGAACATAAAAAAATCAACAATGCTAGACGTACAAAATGAATTGCATAGATTCCTTACAAAATTTCAAACTTCGACCAAGGAAAAGGAAAGGGAAAGGGAATAACTGCTGGCTTGAAAAAAATATTATAATAAATTCATTAAATCACTTGTATTTTTACCTTAGTTTTCAGCCTCACGAAATATCAAATAAAGCTGAAGTATTACATTCTTAGTATTATTTTGAAGTACTCATGACCGACTATTTTATGTCATTAGCAGTACGCGAAACGGCCAATCGTAGCACATGTTACGGCGTGTCAAAGTAGGCCGTTCCAAAGTAATATTTCGAGAATTTCGATAATAAGCTAACTTTAAAAAAAATTCGACGATTGTACGCTAATCGAATCTATAAATCTTCTATATCTTCTCAAAGCTCATTTCGAGAACTATATCATAGACATAGGTCGTTCAATTCTCGACTTATTTAAAAATTAATTTTAGTACACCAAAATAATTTTTCTACCAAAAAATCAATTATTTTAACTCCAATTATTTTAAATAATCTAATAAAATTTTTTATGTCACTTAAAAAGTTTCCTAATAAACTTTTAAATTTTTTAAATGACATCTTAATGTCAAATTTTTTACATTAATGTAAAATGTCGTCTCTGGATCATTTAGGAAATTATTAAATATAATTCATATAAAATAATAAAAATTTTATTAGGAGTTTTTATGTCAATTTTTTTCGTCAAACCACATAAAAAATTTTAATAAAAGGATTGATTCTAAAAAAAAAGAAAAAAATGAGTTATACGTCTCTTTTTGACACACATGTTTGACTCACGTTTAACTATTTTGATATTCATTTAAATCATTCGTTATGTCTACGATATAATTCTCGAAATGAGCTTCGAAAGGATATAGAAGATTTATGGATTCGACTAGCGTACAATCGTCGAAGATTTTTTAAAGTTAACTTGTTATCGAAATTTTCGAAATACTAGTTTGAACGGCCTACTTTGATGCGCCGTAACATGTGCTACGATTGGCCGTTTCGCGCACCGTTAATGACATAAAATAGTAGGCCATGAGTATTTCAAAATAATACTAAAAATGTAATATTTCGACTTTATTTGATATCCCGTATGAGGCTGAAAACTAAGGTAAAAATACAAGTAATTTAATGAATTTATTATAATATTTTGAACAATGCTATCCAGCTTACTTCAATTCACAAATTCAATGGTCAAAACAGGCATAAAGATGGCATGTGATGGGTGGTTACAAGTAATTATGCATGTGTTTGAATGGCAACACAACAAAGTGTTGTATTGGCCCTTTTATTTCCTTTATATATATATATATATATATATGTATGTATGTATATATTTTTTTAATATCCAAGTATCCCAACTTATATTAGACTAAATCCTGGACCCCCAAGACCCTTGCCCCTAGAACCTTGGAGGGGGTAAATCGCGGGTTATGCCTCAACTGGATCACAGGTTCCCCTCATTGCCTGTACACTTCTGCGCACAAGATACCCTCCTCCATAGTGATTGCTCCATACCAAATATTTGGCCGCAGGTTCCCACCAGGAATCGAACTCTCTACCCTGCCGCTGGAAGCAAGACAATGTTGATTGATCCACCAGTTGAGCTGTACCCCGAGGGGCCCTTTGTACATAATTCTTTGTTTTAGTGCATGTTGTCTTAAGTTATTTCAATCTTTTGCATACTTAGTCAATTTTATGAGTTCTCATTTTCGTACTTGTAAAAAATGTGTATTAACTAGTTGCAAACGGGACACACGAGATGGCCCTGTGACAATTCTTTTCCCTATCTTGGTTACTAAATGGGTCGAAAACTTTCCACTCGATTTGGGATGAGACAGGACATATTCGAATAGGTGGAAATTACATAAAAGCAAGAATTTAAAGAGTACAATTCAAAATTCAAGTATGGAGTTTCATTATTCACAAATCAGATATCAATATAGTATAAAGCCTAAATCATTTTTTTCCCTCTTCTCTCTACCTCTCTCTTTTCTTTTCTGTCCATTCTCCCTCTTCACCACGGCAACCCATTCAAACTCCGGCAATCGGTGATGAAGGAGCTAGGTTGGCCGACTGAGAACTCGCCGGGCAACGTCAATTCCAACCTTCAGCGGCGACTGATTTTTGCAGTCCATCAACGCTGTGCAAATCACCCCTTCGATTGACCATCTCTATCATCTCCATCGCCCTCACCCTTTTATTCATCAGTATGACGTGGATGTGGTTTGTGGGATGGCGACAACATGGATGCATTACTTCTTCTTTCCGATATGTGCTCGTACTCCAGTCGCCGCAGCAGCAACAGTGACATGGTGTTTCTAGGTATTTGCTGTAAGGTGGTTGTTTTTGGGTTTTTTAGGTGTCGCCGCTACAGCGGCACTCCAAATTGTTGTGTGATTTTTTTGGGCATTGGCAGTAAGGTGCCGGTGGTGTAAATTTAGAGTTTTGGTGGCTAGTTGGTGGTGGTTTGCAAATTGTGGCGATGATTGTAGTTGGGTGGTGGTGGTGATGGTTGTGATATTTTGCTGCGTGGTTGGATGATCTGGTTGGTCCTAATGGTGATAGTGATAGTGATAGTGATGAGGTAGTATATTGGTGACCGTGATGTTGTGCTATCGTGGTGGTGGTGATAGTGGTGAGGTAGTGATGTGGGTGGTTGTTGAAGCAGGATGTAGCAACGATGTATATGGTGGTGGAGCTGCTAGCGGTGGGTGATGATGGTAGTGACGGTTGACGATGGTGATGGCGATGGTGATAGCGATGGTGGTGGTGTTGTGGTGCTAGTGACAATCGAAGGGTGAAGGTGATTGCAAGTGGCGGTGTCAATAGTGTTGATGGCGATGGTACGTGATCCACTATTTGGTGTATGTGATCAATTAATTGGTTATTCGTGACCAAATATTAAACTGTGACTTTAAAATGCGTTAGTTTGTAATTGAAAAATAATTTGTAAATATGTGACTGATAGATAAATTGTGACATGTATTTTTTTTTATTTGTGAGGAATAAAATAAACCGTGACATATAAAATTTTTGATTGTGACTTTAAAATAATTTGTAACCTATAAAAATTTTGATTTGTGATTTCGAAATAACCTCTAACCAATTAATTTCATAATATGTGACCAGTAAATAAGTCGTGACCTATAATCATGTAAATGTAACCATTAATTGTATAATTGTGACTTTATTATATTTAATTAATAAGCCCGTACCTAATTTTTGAATTTTTAAACTTAAAACCTGATTTTTGAATTGTCTATACTTAATACATGACTTGTAAATTTTTCCCTTCAAATAATTTTGTCCTCCTTAACTAACATGAACGTTTTTTAACTTCCTATATAGATTTTATTAAAGAGATTAACAATAAAATAAATAATCGGTTGGATTTGGTCACTTATACTTGCTTGCACATGAAAGTTATATTCGATCACAATAAATATTTATTGGTGTTTGATTCCCATTTTTCTTAAAATGCATTTTTTTCTTTTTTTTTTTTCAATCACATATTTTTTTATTAAAATAATATTATAAACAAATAAAAAACTTTTCCTTATTCTTCAACCACACATTTTTCATCAATCTACTATTCCAAAATATATTCTTCAAAAAAATGGTGCTCAAACATACAATTAGATTAAACCCCGCTTCCACATTATAATTTATACAGGGAGGAATAGTAATTTTTTTTTTTTAAATGTGTGATTAAAAAAGAAAGAAAAGTTTTTGAGTTTATGTGTAATATTATTTTATTAAAAAATGTGTGATTGATAAGAAAAATGAATTATAATTTGATAGGGAAAAATAGGAGTCAAACAAGGACTATAAGAGTTTCTCGCACTTCTTACTATCAATATTTTTCTTGTGTTCTGTTTTTCTTGCTTATGCTAAATTGAAGGTAACTTAAGCTCAAGTAACAATGCAAATATTTTATTGTGCTAGGTATACAGTAAATAATACAACAATTTATACGCTCAGTGTAGCACTTGTTGTACACAAGTACCAAAATTCTTTCATTTTTAATTTGTTTTTCATTAGGCAGTCTTATTTGCTTACTTATATGACTATTTTATTTATATTTTTATTTCGATTTACTAGAATATACATTGTCATCATTACATTAAATTTGTATTTTTTTTTTCAAACTATTGGGAGGTTGAAATTATAATGATACATAATAGTTAATTGATAATTTATTTTGATAGACTTCATAATAAAGTACAATTTCCTTGTGGACGAATCAGAATAAAATGATAGGGCAATTAAACAAAATAAGCCATTATTCAAGGGAAACTTACAAATCAATATTAGTGGTTATAGGTCGAATGTGAATTTTTACAGTAGTAGAAAAAGGTGAACATGATTCGATTTAAACGATTTGAGACAAATTTTCAAACCAAACCATTTAAAGCCGTTTGAAAAAAATCAAATCACTTCAATTTCTAAACCAAACCAATCCAAACCATTTTTTTCGATAATATATATCAAATAAGTTAAATCATAAATATTTGCATAAAATTTCACGTTAAAATATAAATTGTATTATTAAAAAATTACAAATCAAAATTACATAATTATAATCACTATAATGCAACAACATGATATAAAAATTTTAATTTCATAGTCGATAGTAATGGTGTCAATTTGCAATTGTAATACACAATTCATTTTCTTCATAAATATAAAAATATAGTACATAAGTTCATTTATTATAGTTAAATGATATAAAATAAATAATAAATAATAAATTAAAAAATTCGAATACAATAATACCTAGCTGTTGTGACTTTTTGTGAATCATTCATTGCTTTTAATCCATCCAAATATTAGTGATTACTTTAGGAAAGCCTCAAAATTATTATAATAAAACATTATAAGTACCAATAAAAACATAAAAAATTACCAAAAAAAAAAAAAATTTGGATCATCTGACTTGAATTTAGGCAAAATTTGAGAAAATTATTACTAGAAGGAAATGAAACGTGTAAGTTTGAATTAAAATTTATTGTCTACTCAATTGTAATGGAGAATTGACTAATATGGTTTAGCAGTAGTT